TCTTTTCAGAAATGGACAAGGGCAATGGATTCTACCAAATACCACTGACTCAAGAATCACAGTATATTCCAGTCACGCCTGCATAGCATGAAGCAGGTTTTTTTTCCTGAAGAACAGGTATACTTCATCGCGAGGTGTGAAAGGCCATCTCAGGCGACCTTTTGAACACTAGAAGTAAAATGGTTTGGCAGGATCTTCTCAGAGTCTGGAGTATCAGTAGATCCAAACAAAATGAAAACCATGGTGGAGGTAGGCAAACCACAAAGCACAGAAGTCAGATTCCTGGTTCAGGCTGCTGCCTACAATGCCAAATTTGCCTTTGTATCCACACTCCCTTCAAGGTAGGGAAGGAAGAGGCACCTAGTCACAGATGCTTATCCACACGGCATATCTGCCTCAGCCTACCAGTAGGATGAAGCAGGTAGATGGAAACTAGTGGACCACATTAATAGTGTTCTGTCCCAACGTGGACAAGCATGGAAAAGTCGGATAGAATAGCAATCAAAGATGACCATATTTAGACCCTATTTCACTGGTACAAGTTTACTAGCCAGGACAACCAGCAATCTTCACCATTTTATAATGACCTGACCAGGCCGGTCGCTACTTGTATCACCCACATTCCCTTTACTGGCAGATACCAGACAGTGACATGTCAGCTAACATTAGTTCTCAACGCCCACGGTCTATTGTTGACTCAACAACGGGAACAGCTAATTGTGGATGAAGTGGTAATGTCCAGTTGTGATGGCAGATCCACTGAACTGACTGAAAACGTGAAAAAACAGGCTGACCCTGTTTACCAGAAGCTACTACAGGCTGTGCACAATGGCAAGAAGCCCGGAGGCCCAGATCTTATGCCAGACACGTTAGTATGGGCTAGTCTGTCGAGGAGAACGAATAGTCATCCCAGAAGGGCATCGACCAGGAAATTAATGCAACATTAGGGAGTGGATTATCTGGTTCCTTGGAATCGACAAGATGATCGAACAAAAAGTGGCAACCTGCCTCTCCTGCCAAGCTGTCACAGACAGCAGCCCGAGAGACATGAAACCCAATACTTTACCAGTAGAACAGTGGGACTGTCTCTGTGACCACCGGGGACCCAGTCCTAGAGGTGGAAAAGATATCCTTCTAATGGTGATACGTTGCACAGGTACATAAGATGAGATGCATTCATTCATAAATGACCTCCGTGACAAGTGACCTCCATTCAATAGCAAGGATTCTCACTTGTTGCAGGAATATTTCCAAACAGTGGAAGTGCAGCACATACCTAATCACTGTATTCAAGACAATGAATCACCAGTTTTGTGGAGGCCTTTATGAAACTTATCAACAAATCTTCCATACATCAGCTGTTTACAGAATTCCTGCCTTTGGTCGATAAAAAGTCTTTCGAACCAGACTAGTAAATCTTGGTAGGGAATGCGTCTTCATTGATATATATATTGAAGTATCTTTCTATTTCTTTCTCTCTCTCTCTCTAACCTCTTCCTACTCATACTTTCCTGGACTTCCGAATTAAACCACCGGGTCTTCCTCCTTATACCCAGGTAAACCAAAGTGCCCTTTTAGCTGTCTTCCTCACCACTTCTGCGCCATCGTCCAGCGCCTCGTACCCACCATCAATCGGCTGCCTCAACCTATCCCTGAATTTAACACCACCCTCTTCTTCTTTCAATAACTACCATCTGGTCCTTTAGTTCAATACTCAATCCTTTTTCCAACAGCCGTTCCTCCCGATGCTCTCTGACTCCACTCTCCTTTGGCACCGCCTTGCAATCTGTAATGTCTTTCAGGTTGCATCTCCTCTTTAGTATATATTCTACGTATTTGCATATTTCTCCCCTTTTGCGCCATCTTGTGCTCCTTCTTTCTTTTAAATACGTATTCACTACAGCCATTTCCCTCCTCTCTGCAAAATCCACCACGAATTGAGATAGAGAGAGAGAGAGTTAGAGATTTAGAAAGAGCGAGGGAGTTAGAGAGAGCGAGAGTTAGAGAGAGAGAGAGATAGAGAGAGAGAGGGAAAAGAAAGAGAAAAAGGTTAAATAAAGGAAAAACGAGAGGGGGGAGGGGAGGGAGGGGGGAAGAGTTAGAGAGAGTAAAAGAGAGTAAGAGAGAAAGAGAGTAAGAGTAAGAGAGAGAAGGGGGAAGAGGAGTAGGGGAAAAGAAAGAGGGAAGAGGGAGAAGAAAGAGAGAGAGAGAAGAGAAAGGAGAGAGGAAGAGAGAGGAAAGAGGGAGAGAGAGGAGAGAGGGAGGGAGAGGAGAGAGTGAGAGAAAATGTGGGGAGAGGGAGGGAGGGAGAGGAGAGGGGAGAGAAAGGAGAGAGAGAGAGAAAGGAGATAGAGAGGGAAAGGAGAGAGGGAGAGAAAGGAGAGAGGGAGAGAAAGGAGAGAGGGAGAGAGAGAGAGAGAGAGAGAGAGAGAGAGAGAGAGAGAGAGAGAGAGAGAGAGAGAGAGAGAGAGAGAGAGAGAGAGAGAGAGAGAGAGAGAGAGAAGAGAGAGAGAGAGAGAGAGAGAGAGATAGAGAGAGAGAGAGAAGAGAGAGAGAGAGAGAGAGAGAGAGAGAGAGAGAGAGAGAGAGAGAGAGAGAGAGAGAGAGAGAGAGAGAAAGAAAGAGAAAAAAGGTGAAATAAAGGAAAAACGAGAGGGGGGAGGGGAAGAGTTAGAGAGAGTAAAAGAGAGTAAGAGAGAAAGAGAGTAAGAGTAAGAGTAAGAGAGAGAAGGGGGAAGAGGAGTAAGGGAAAAGAAAGAGAGAAGAGGGAGAAGAAAGAGAGAGAGAGAAGAGAAAGGAGAGAGGAAGAGAGAGGAAAGAGGGAGAGAGAGGAGAGAGGGAGGGAGAGGAGAGAGTGAGAGAAAATGTGGGGAGAGAGAGGGAGGGAGAGGAGAGGGGGAGAGAAAGGAGAGACAGAGAGAAAGGAGAGAGGGAGAGAAAGGAGAGAGGGAGAGAGAGAGAGAGAGTTAGAGAGAGAGAGAGAGTGAGAATGAGAGAGAGAGAGAGAGAGAGAGAGAGAGAGAGAGAGAGAGAGAGAGTTAGAGAGAGAGAGAGAGAGAGAGAGAGAGAGAGATAGAGAGAGAGAGAGAAAAGAAAGAGAAAAAAGGTGAAATAAAGGAAAAACGAGAGGGTGGAGGGGAAGAGTTAGAGAGAGTAAAAGAGAGTAAGAGAGAAAGAGAATAAGAGTAAGAGAGAGAAGGGGGAAGAGGAGTAGGGGAAAAGAAAGAGAGAAGAGGGAGAAGAAAGAGAGAGAGAAGAGAAAGGAGAGAGGAAGAGAGAGGAAAGAGGGAGAGAGAGGAGAGAGGGAGGGAAAGGAGAGAGTGAGAGAGAGAGAGGGGAGAGTGAGAGAGAGAGAGAGGGGAGAGTGAGAGAAAGAGTGGGGAGAGAGAGGGAGGGAGAGGAGAGGGGAAGAGAAAGGAGAGAGAGAGAGAAAGGAGAGAGAGAGAGAGAGTGAGAATGAGAGAGAGAGAGAGAGAGAGAGTTAGAGAGAGTTAGAGAGAGAGAGAGAGAGAGAGAGTGAGAATGAGAGAGAGCGAGAGAGAGAGAGAGTGAGAGAGAGTGAGAGAGAGAGAGAGAGAGAGAGAGAGAGAGTGGGGTGAAAGAAGAGAGAGGGGAGAGAGAGGAGAGAGAGGGGGAGATAGATAGATAGAGAGAGACAGAGGATGGGGAGAAGAGATAAGGAGACTGAGGGGGTGGGGTAGGGGTAGGAGTGGGAGTGGGAGTGGGAGAGGAAGAGGGAGAGGGGTGAGGGAGAGGGGGAAAGGGAGAGGGAGAGGGGTGAGGGAGAGGGGGAAAGGGAGAGGGAAAGGGGTGAGGGAGAGGGGGAAAGGGAGAGGGAGAGGGGGAAAGGGGTGAGGGAGAGGGGGAAAGGGAGAGGGAGAGGGGGAAAGGGAGAGGGAGAGGGGGAAAGGGATAGGGAAAGGGGTGAGGGAGAGGGGGAAAGGGAGAGGGAGAGGGGGAAAGGGATAGGGAAAGGGGTGAGGGAGAGGGAGAGGGGTGAGGGAGAGGGGGAAAGGGAGAGGGAGAGGGGTGAGGGAGAGGGGGAAAGGGAGAGGGAGAGGGGTGAGGGAGAGGGGGAAAGGGAGAGGGAGAGGGGCAGAGGAAGAGGGAGAAGAAGAAGGAGAAGGAGAGTTAGAGAGAGAGAGAGAGAGAGAGAGAGAGAGAGAGAGAGAGAGAGAGAGAGAGAGAGAGAGAGAGAGAGAGAGAGAGAGAGAGAGACGAGGGTGAAAGGAGAGAAAGAGGGAGGGAGGGAGGGAGGGAGGGAGAGAGGGAGAAGGGAGGGGAGAGAGAGAGAGAGAGAGAGAGAGAGAGAGAGAGAGAGAGAGAGAGAGAGAGAGAGAGAGAGAGAGAGAGAGAGAGAGAGAGAGAGAGAGAGAGAGAGAAATGGGGGGGAGACAAGTAGATAAAGTGAGAAATAGGGCGTATCTTTTTCATGCTCATTATTTTATAATGATTCAATTTATCGACGCATGTGTGCAGGGTCGCCGTAGGGGAATGAAGAGTTAATTTCATCTTTATTTAAACTCATTTCACTACAGCCATCCCATAATATATCCTAGATTTATAATACGGCTTTGTTATATCTGTAACGAATCGAATTTTATGTCAAATTAGAATCCTCGGCAATGCAATAGAAGGCTGCGTCTCAGTTAGAGGGAAAACCTTTGTTTGGGAGCTGCCACGCATGAGCAAACATTTCCTAATAAAATGGGTAAATGTAGTCAAACACCGGTGTTTTGCAAGATCCACCCTTTGTATTTGAGTTGGCGTAGACCTATCTCTTCATCAGGGGGGGCGTGATAAAAATCGTATGGGGCCGAATAAAGCCTCGTCAGCGTATGAGTACAGCTGCGAGGAAATAGTAAGCTCATGCACTTGCGTAAGGCGGAGACAGCGGTGTAATGAGTGGCGTGAATCATGACAATAGCCGCAGCCCCTCATATTGAGTTGTAGTAAAAGTGTCGGCTGCCGCACGCCTGCGCCCCACACCTTCCATTCACAACATTTACCCCGCCACTGTTCCAACATTCTTTTTCAAATTCCTACATTTCCGCGAGATTGCGAGCTACGCCTTCCCCTCGTCATTCCAGGCGCTTGGTAATATTATGTATTATTTTGCGGCGTGTGAGTGAGGCCAGGAGGGCGCCCGGCTTCCCCTCCGGGCGAGGGCCGTGACAAAGGCGGCGACTGAGGTGGGTGGAACTCACGCGGGTCCGGCGGCGGTGTTCTGAGTGGCCAGGATGGCAGAGTTGGCGCTGGGTGGGCCTCGCAATGTGTCAGTCAGACCTAAAGACAAACTCCATGGTTCTCCCAGCACCGGTAGCGACGAGGGCCAAGACGTTGGCTTCGGGGATGACTTCGACCCCTTTCACGACGACCCCGACGAGCCAGATGAGGTGGACAGCTCGCTGTCTGCCCCCCCCGAGGAGAGGTGAGAACCGCGGTGTTGTTGTTTCTGAGGGGTTGGGGGGGCACGGCCTGCCATGCCCCCCGGACGTCGCCCCATGGGCTGTGGCCCTCCTTTGCCACGGCCCTTCTTGCCTAGGGCACTAGGGGCCATGGCAGGGCAGACGCGTAGGGGCCCCATCTCGGGCGCTCCCTGGGGTTGAAGGAAGAGGAGGAGGAGATTCCCCCAGGCAAAGGGAGTCCCAAGTTGGGCTTCCTTGACCTGGGTTTCAGAGGTCAAGTGGCTTATGGGTACCCTAGGCACCAATATTGAAAATGCAAGGCTTCCTATTGGGTTTCCATTGGTGATACTGATAATCTAAGCTGAGATTGAATTCCCAGAACACCAATGACTAATACTGCCTCAATCATGCTGGAATTCAGCAATCACTGAAATATTTTTTGTTGAACTCTTGAGTTTTGTGTCATGTTATGTTGGAATTAGGTTTCTAAAGTATGGTTTGCAAGATATTAAACTTTTATTATGAATGAGATTTTGTCTATTTCCTTTCTCTTCGTCATCACCGACCACAAAAGATTATTTGATATGAAATTAATCTATGTATAAAATTGTCATGTTAGATTTGGTGAATGGATATTGAGTATACGTTGCAATGGCAATGTTTCAGTGATAATAAATTTGTTTTGACAAATATTTTGCTGCTACAACTTTTGAAAAGAAATAAAGTAATAAAGCTAGAATAGATTTCAATAATGTATTTAGAATTGACATTAACTGAAGGGCTTTTGTTTTACTTTGAAAGATAATGAATAAGAATAATATTATTTTATTATTATGACCTGTTGCCGCTCAGTTAAAATTATTATTTCAAGATAAAATAAAAAAGATAGAAAAAATGGGAAACGTAACAGTGGAAACTTTCCTACCATTTTTCTTTATTTGTGGGGTTTTCCGTTTGTTCTTAGTCTGTAATATACGTCTTATAGTTAACTGTGAAATAGAGAGAGAGAGAGAGAGAGAGAGAGTACTTAATTATTATAATATATTGCTAAATATGTTGTTATAAACCTTTGTTGAAATCTGATATTTGTGTAGGATTTATACAATAAATGCCTATACCAACAGTCTAAATTTGACATCCTACTGAAAATGAAAGATAAAATAATTAGGGATTTAAAGGGACAGATCTTTTGTAACATAGATTTATTTTACCCAACATATTTGTTTTGGTGAAGGCTAATAAAACCCAATTTATTCTGAGAAGATACAGCTTGGCAATATCCTAATTTGATGATAAATCACTAGCTTGTGGAGTTTTTTTTTTTTTTTTTTTTTTTTTTTTTTGGCCTTTGTAAGAGAAGATTGGTAAGGAATGCATTTTGATCTTGAAAAATCATATTTTAAAAGTTATCTTTTATTATATCAGTTTTAGAGTTTAGGTTGTGATGGTCTTCACTGGTTACTATGCTGTTATCTGTTACTTTTACTCTGTATTGTACTTTAGTGTACATTATTGCAATCTTTGAGTAACTTTTATTAAATCTCAATTTTCACAAATTTATTTTTTTTACATAAATCATTTTAGTTGGTATCTGGCATAACCAGAGTTGTTTCAGATTGCTGTCAGCTTAGTATATTGTGTCATTTTATTTGTTTTTGTTTTTCATAGCTTAGAATGTGTTATAACTTTCTTGTAGGACTAAATATAAGGTAATTTATATTTTGCACAAGTCATTTTCCTAAACTCGAAAGACTGCAGTTTCATGGTTTCACCTTGCTTGCGCAGTCATTAAGAAGCTGAATTTTTTTACCTGTCACCAGGCCCCACACAACCTTTCATGTTTATATTAGAGAGAGGGAAAGAGAGCAAGAGTTCAAGATAGCAATAAAATATTTATAATTTCGTATCTGTGAATAGTAAAATTACAGTTATGAACCATGGCTGAATGTGTGAAACATACTTTTAGTGATGGGCGCTAGAGAAAAGGGTTACAGAAGGTGTGTGGTAGTTTGTAGGTTTGTACATGCCTTTTGTTACTAGAATGTTTAATTCTTATACTTACTATTTTTATTTGTCTAAAAGATGGAATCAGTTCCAAGAAGCACTTGTGTGATTAGTTAAGTTAGACAAAGTGGCTCAAAGGGTATTGGGTGATGGGGGAGGGGGTTATCCATGCCATGCATTACAATAAATTCTTATTTTATACTTGTCAAAGGTACCACTGAGGCACTTATATCATTTGTTAAGGGAGTTGAAAGTGTACAGCTGGCAAGATCCTGTGCTGCCTATGATGTTTTATATGGCAGTATTTGATGTGTCCATTTTTACGTAAAATTATATATTTTATCACTGCTTTCTGCACAATGTGCCACACAAATTCTACTGAAAGATCCTCAGTTCATTTTTTTTTTTCATGCCAGTACCATAATGTGCGTCAGAAACACATGCATAAACTACAAAGTTACTGAATGAGTATGTAGGGTGTATTTATTTGATGAAGTGAAGGCTATATGTATTTTTTTTTGTATCCGTTTATCTTAAGATTCTGAGTTGTATATTCCATGATAAGAAAACAATTTCCAATAGTACCATTATAGTAGGAATAGTAATAGTGATTGGAATAGTGAAAGCAACAGTGATAATGGCAAGAGCGAAAAAAAAAGAAAAATATTTATGATGATGATGATGATGATGATGATAATAATAATAATAATAATAATAATAATAATAATAATAATAATAATAATAATAATAATAATAATAATAATAATAATAATAATAATGATACTACTACTACTACTACTACTACCAATGATTATAATAATGATAATGATAGTAATAATGACAGTGATGACAATGAGGATGATGCCATAATACTACTAATAATAGTAATAATGATAATAATAATGATAATGATAAGAATGATGATGATAATGATAATAGTAATAATAATGATAATAATAATAATAATAATAATGATAATAGTAAATAATAAAAATAATATAATAGTAATACTAATATTAATAGTAATGATGATTAATTAATATAGAAGTTAGGATAATGATAATAACGGTGGCTAAAAAAATATTGTAATGCTTAATGATGATGATGATGATGATGATGATTATAATGATAACAATGATAACTGTTGTTAATATTATTATAATCCAAATTATTATTATTGTTGTTGTTATCATTAATAACATTTCTATTAATATTATTATTAGTTTTCATTAATGTTGCTATTGTTATTATGGTTATTATTATTATTATTATTATTATTATTATTATTATTATTGTTATTATTATTATTATTGTTGTTGTTGTTTTGTTGTTGTTGGTATTATTATTATTATTATTATTATTATTATTATTATTATTATTATTATTATTTTGATCATGGTCATATCATTATGGATTATTATTGTTGTTATTGTTGTTATTACTGAAATATACATTTTATTTAAAAATTGGAAACGAGCAGAAAATACCTTGAATGGTAGCTACTCTCTTTAATGTCTGTGCATACTTTTTCGAAGAAACTGGTAGTCTGCCCTCATTTCTGACAGATACTTGGAGTAACTGCAGGAAATAATAATATGGGGGAATATTTCCAAAGGATAATGTAAGGTTTAGGTGAAAAGTTTTGTCGAAGACTGGATTTTTTATGATGATGATGATGATGATGATGATGATGATGATGATGTTAAAGGAATAGAGGAAGAATAGGTAGGCTTATTAGAGAAAATTGTTTTCAGTCAAATGTTAAAAGCCTAAATACAGCTGGAAAAGCACCCTCAGACTTTCGAGGTTAAAATGCAATAAACGACAGGGATTGATGTTGAACCACAATGAGGTCGATCTGCTGGGAGGATTGTGAAAAGTTAAGTTACAAGGGGGATTTGAAACCACATTCTTTGGGTTTATTTTGTTCACATAATTTGATAGTAGAATTTGATTCAAGTTTTGATGTTGTGTATATGAACACATGTCAATATACAGTGATATGTATTGTAGGTGTGCTAGTTGTAAATATTCATATATGATTCTTCAAACCGTCATCTGTTTATCTCATAATGCTTGTAAATATACCTTATCTTCAATTAGACAAGCTTAGTATGATGTGTGGAACTGAGAGTTATGAGACTGGCAGTTCAAAAGCTGACATGAAATTCCTTACCACTGCTGTGACCTCTCAGGCTTTTGCATAATTTGTCAAATATCACTCGGTCTCGAGGTGTAGTCTGGCTAGGCTTAACTAACTCTCAGTATTTCATAGCCATTGTAAAGTTCATCCCTATTGGACCCCACCTCTTTACAGCCTTACATCAGATGACATTAATCAAATGATGGTGATCTTGGCTGATTGGCATTTAATAGCAAGTTCAGGATCACTTAGCACTGGCATTCATTTGGCAATGCCCAGATTTTGTAGAAACTCACTGTCTGCTTCCTCATTATTTAGAATGAATTGCCAGCTTGTCAGTGCTAGTATTACACATGCTCCTCTGTCATACACAGAAGCTATCTACACATCTTTATTTTCTTTCCTTCTCTCTTTCTTTCTTTCTTTCTTTCTTTCTTTCTTTCTTTCGTTTAATACTGTAGCTATATCTTTTCAAACTATTTTTGATTTATGATCACAGGATAATTTTATATCCGTTATCAGTTCAGAATTTTTATGGTTCACATGACAGGTAATCTCAGTCGAAGATTGTGTTTTTAAAAATGGTGCAGGGCCAAGAATAGAAACATGATTACTCAGCACACTTTCTATTTTCCTTCTCTCCCTCTCCATATGTTTACTCCCAACCCTCTGCTATCACTGCTGATTGGTTAAAAGCCAGCACTTGATGTCCAATATATGATAATTCTAAATAGTAGAGCATAAGAATTAATAGGAATAAGTTTAAGGAGAGACTATATACTTTTTGTTAATATTTGATAGTGCCCCAGGAAGAGGTGCCCTCCGTAGTATTACAAGTAACAATTGAAGAATATAAAACCACTAAATAAATGATGAATGTTTAGATAAATCAGTGGTATCATTTAATAAGAACAAATGAAACTGTAACTGTTACTTTTAGATTGAATGATGGTTAATAAATAAGTTAATTGGGTATTCCTAATGGCCTTTATAGGGCTTCCTGCCTTACATTGCACTTTAAAGATGCAGTCACACAGGCATTTGATCCCTGATGATTCTTGCTAATACATAAGCATAATGAAGAAGTGAATCTTATGTCTCAAATTCTGATGCACAACTGGTGGTGTCTGCATGTGGACAGTATTGTATGGAAGTCTTGCATGTGGGACTTGAAGAGTTAATAATCTGGCTGGAAATATTTAGTAAAGCATCTTGGTTATATGTAACCAAGTACTAATTATTTGGTAGTTGTGTAATTTCTCATATCTGACATATTACTTTTTCAATACTAATAATCTTTCTTTGAAATTTGACTAGTGTCATGATATCCTGTAAAGTATGGTTGTGATATCACTGCCTACAGGATATTCATGTCTATCAAAACCTCACTCTGCATTGCCTTACTTGCCCTGCCTCATTTTTATAGTTTCAGATATACAAGCTTGTTTCCAGATAAAAACTTCTACATGTAATGATCACTGACTCAAATATAATATTTGACATTGCATTATATATATAAGCAATTTAATTTGAAACAAGTTTTATGCAAAAGCTAGATCATCTATACATGCTAATGTTATATGATCAACTCCAAGTGACCAGCAATCACATAGTAATACTGGGTTTGTGGATACATAACTTCCAGGCAAATGGACTTTAAGGCTGGTTAAGATAATTTGTATTGACATTATAGTCATCCTTCACTCTTGCAAAATGTAATCTGTCATAGATAATACTTGCTCACATCCTGTCAAGAACCTTTACTTGTCATTCAGTGGTGAGAGGAGGAATGATGCCCCATAATGTAATTAATAAAAATTGGTATAATGGCTTGTGCAAAGCCTGCATAATTTCAAAACAATAAATGCACCAAATTTTGCACATAATGTCAAATGTGTGTGTGTGTATAATGGAAATAAGTTACAATAGTAGTGGGAGTATTGTGATTAATTATCACTATGTTTCACAACATTTTAATTTGCCCTGTTCTTTGGTGTTGACTCTTCTATAATAAAATGTGGGTATTACTCTTTTTTAGATTATCTTAACAAAATACATATATGCTATGGCAAACCACTGAATAATATTATCCCAGTCTACATTATACCCTTTTATAGTATATTCCTGTGGGGTATTGTGTGTCATAATTCATCAGATTGTTTTTCATTGTATTTTTTTGGTGCACATTGGAGATGCTCTGTTGGTGCTTACATATTTATATTTATATTTATGCTTCTGTGTATGTCCTTGCAGCAGAATATGAGTAGTTGTGCTAAATTGTTATATCATACTATTTATTCTTTAAGTTGTATTATTGTTGCTTTGTTTTTTTGTAGAAGTTCATGGAAAAATGAGGAAGAGGATGGGAATGTACCAAAAACATTGTAGAAGCAATCTAACTGTTGGTATTAAAAGCTCTATTGTTTTGGATAAACGTCCATGTACATTTATACTATCTTTCCAGTTGGTACCATGGACGCTTGGACCGAGCACAAAGTGAAGAACGCTTACGGCTATTTGGGAAACTTGGAAGCTACCTGGTACGAGAGTCTGACCGTCGGCCCGGATCTTATGTCCTTTCCTACCTTGGACGCTCTGGAGTATCACATTTCAAGTAGGTTATATGTTGTGTTGGCTTTAGGCCTTAATTCACAAAGGGAAGCTGAAAAGCTGAAATTCATGGTATATATTAACCCCTTGGTGACGGGTGACGCCGATTGGCGTGTAAACAAAGAGCTCGAAAGCTGGCGTGCAGCCAAACGAGCCGGCGGTGCGCCAAAGCGCGGCGAGCCAGTGATTCGGGCTGATGTCCCCTACTCACGCGCTCAAAGTCGGCGTGCCGCCTTTGTTTGTTTAAGTGTAGAGTTTTTTTTTTCTTTTGTACACCCGGCGCCATTGGGTTAACAGCGTTATACTGAAGCGTACATTATTAAGTGGTCCAGTTAGTAATTTTGGACAGGAGATGGTTGGACTGTACCATTTTTGGCATACTGCTCCAAGCTTTCCTTCATTGTTCAAACAAATGATAATGGTGGAAATTATGGTTTTGTAATAAAAAAAGAAGCTTAGGGATGTAGATATACTCAGGTTTGATCTCATGAAATAATGCCTCAGTAGTTATCATAGAAGTATTTGCTCTTGAATAGCTATGATACTTGATTCATTTGTTGATACGTAAATTCCTTGATATAGAAGAAGATACAAATGTGATGTTACTGCCATTACAATAGTTTTAGATTAGCTAAGGTAGAATTTGCCTTGTAGAAATTTTTAGGCATGGTCCATTCTATATTTGAAGATATATGGCTAGAAAGTTTTCTCATTGCTATTGAAATGAGCGCATCAAAAGTATGCAAGTCACCTTTTAAATGCAGGTATTAGGGATGCAAAGTGTGCGTTGCCATCTGATACTCTAAGGGAGATACCGTGACATAAAACATTAATAAGGCAGTGGTCAGGAATAAATTACCAATTATTTTTCTTTGTGCAGGATCACGGCAGTATGTGGAGACTTCTACATTGGTGGTCGGCAATTCAATGCCCTGAGCGACCTTGTTGGTTACTACACGAGTATGTCCGATCTCCTCAAGCGGGAAAGACTAGTTCATCCAGTTCCACCGCCTGAGCCCGTTAATGATCTGCGCAAAGTTGTAGCCATCCTTCCATACACTAAAATGGCAGATACAGATGAATTATCGTGAGTTTTCCTCTTTGGTGGTGGAAGGAATCCTACTAACCGTCGGTCTTTTATTCTTCACTTTAATCAGTATATGAGAAAGTAATATTGTTATTGTTAGAGAGAGGGAGAAAGGTGATGAGAGGGAGAGAGAGGATGAGAGGGGGGAGAGAGGGGATGAGAGGGGGGGAGAGTGGACGAGAGGGAGTGAGTGAGGATGAGGAGAATGAGAGGGTGAGAGCATAAGAAGTGGAGAGAGAGAGAGAGAGAGAGAGAGAGAGAGAGAGAGAGAGAGAGAGAGAGAGAGAGAGAGAGAGAGAGAGAGAGAGAGAGAGAGAGAGAGAGAGAGAGAGAGAGAGAGAGAGAGAGAAGAGAGAGAGAGAGAAAAGAGAGAGAGAGAGAGAAAAAGAGATGAAAAGAGATGAAAAGAGATGAAAAGAGATGAAAAGAGAAAAGAGAGAAAAGAGAGAAAAGAGAGAAAGAGAGAAAAAGAAAGAGAGAAAAAGAGAAAAGAGAGAGAGAAAAAAAAAGAAAGAGAGAGAGATGAAATTAGTATTTGTAATGTAGTAATTGATACAATGTGTTTCTTCCTAACAGATTCCAGAAAGGTGATATATTCTTTGTTCATAATGAACTAAGCGATGGTTGGTTGTGGGTAACCGCTCATCGCACTGGAGAACAGGGTACTATATTCTCAGACCTGGTGGAGACCCTGGATGATGATATTGATCCCAATGTTGTGTTCTCATGGTTCCACCCAGACATTACTAAGAGTGATGCCATTGATCTTTTGATAAAAGGTATGCATGGTTGAATTGTAAGAACTTCGGGGTGATGATACTTATAAAGTAGTGATTGGAGATGTTTATGCCAAGAACTGGAATGTAAAATATCCTCTTTGCTTCTTTATTCTGTGTTCATGTAACAGCACCAATGTTGATGACGGATTGGCATTGATTTTCCTCTATACTCTTTTGGCTGGACAGCTGGTCAGGGCAGTTTCTTGGTGCGTCCAAGTGACAACTCCCCGGGTGATTACACGCTGTTCTTCCTCACCAACAACATTATTCAGAGATTCAGGATAGAGAAACGTGGTGTCAAGTAAGTATGTCGCTATGAAAGTAATGTATGGCTAGTCCCCAGTGTCAGATTTGTTACGATGTTATTTCTGTAATAATTTCTCTTTGGGATATTGTCACTAAGTTTTGTTTGTCAATTGTTTTTGGGGAGATGATTGATGTTTTGTTCTTATTCTCCTCAGGTACCTGATGGGTGGGAGAACCTTTTCCTGCCTAGATGCTGTGATCAATAGATACAAAACTGAACAGATTTTAGAAGGGCACACTTTAGGCAATCCAGTTTGTAAGGTAAGAGAGAGATCAAGGCAGAGGCAGAGATAGAGGAGGGTTGAAAGATAAACAGAAAAAAAGAGGGGGAGAGAGAGAGAGTGAGAAGAGAGAGGGGGGGAGAGTGAGAGTGAGAGGAGAGAGGGGGGGAGAGTGAGAGTGAGAAAAGAGAAGGGGGGAGAGTGAGAGTGAGAGGAGAGGGGGGGGGAGTGAGAGTGAGAAGAGAGAGGGAGAGTGATAAAGATTGAGATTAAAAGAAATTAAAGATTGAGCAAATAACAGAGAGAGAAAGAGAGGAAGGGGGAGAAAGGGGGTGAGACAGGAAGAAATATGGACAAATAAAATAATTCTGTCACTTTCAGTCTTGTAAGTTGCATTGTTTTTCCAGACATCTGGGGAGAGGCTTGGTCTGCCCATAGTTCCAGTTAAGGAAGTAGAACAGCCCGAGAAGATTTATGCTACTCTTAATGAAATAAGGGAAAAACTTGGTGTAACTAAATTTAAAGGTAAACTAATTTTGTTTCCTACATATAAAGATCTTCCATAAAATAAAAATACTACCAAAATAAATGTGCTTCATATTTTTTACATAATTACTGGTGATCCATTATGGCTACAATATTTTCATTATTTGCCTTTTCAGGGATCCAGAAACAAGGCTGGTTATATAAAAAGAGCAAAAAGAACAAGAAGTGGAAGTGCTTGTACTTTGTTCTCACTGACATCCTGTACTATTATGATAATCCAAAGGTTAGTCACTGCTTTTTTTAGATTTGTAAATGTGAGTTAGTGTGTCTGTTTTATTGTTATAGATGTAAGACCACCATATCTGTATATACTGTTTTATTGGTATAGGTGTCAGGTAAAACCACATCAAAGTGTTTTTTAAATATGATTGGTTATCATCGTGAAAAAAATCTTTTCAGCGCACCAAACCAAGAGGCCTAATAGACTTGAACTGTTCCTACTTATACCAAGTTCACGACAGCTTCTTTGAACGACCAAACTGCTTCCAATTAGTTGAGAGGGAGTTGCCTTGCCTAGCTACTGTCACATACTTGTGCTCAGACTCTCAGGTATTGTAAGGGTATTGTACTTTAAATGAGGGATTGAAGAGTAGAGTCAGGGTGTAAATTCTTGACAAATCTTTGTTTTATAACAATTGTACAATAAAATATTATACAATTATATATATATATATATATATATATATATATATATATATATATATATATATATATATATATATATATATATATATATATGTATATATATATATATATATATATATATATATATATATATATATATATATATATATATATATATATATATATATATATATATATATGTATATATATATATATATATACTTATGAAATAGGAAACTTACTACTATTTTGTAAATTATTTTAAATTATTTTTTGCATCCCAGGAAATGACCAACGACTGGATGGCAGTTTTGCGGCCTCTTTGTGTTCCTCAGATGGTGGGAGCACCCAAGTTGCAAACTCTGAAATTCATGAAGTCTCTGCATCTAACTATTATGCAGGCAACAAGATTACCCTCAAAGATTGTGCCCAGCCCCTACTGCCTTGTTTCTCTTAACCAGGTAAACTATGCAATCAGGATTTTTTATTTTTTTATTTTTTTTATTTTTTATCTCTAGTTTGATTTTATAGAAGCAAAGCATTAGCAGAGACATTGTTGTCAGTAAAAAAAAAATAGCTGAAGTGAATGTGCATAAACCAAATGAAGAAGCTTTCAAAACTGACAAATATTTTCTTGTTCAGGTGAAAGTGTGCAGGACAAGACCAAAGCCTGGCCCTGACCCTGTCTGGGATGAAGAGTTTATCTTGGATGACATTCCATCAGATGTTATAATGTTTACTATCACAGTGTATAACCATGGGAAGCGCAGCAAAGATTCAGAGGTTTGTGTATGTGAATTATTGAGAGAACAGTACGTAAATCTCTCTCTTTTCTCTCTCTCTCTCTCTTTCCCTCTCTCCCTCTTTCCCTCCCTCTCTCCCTCTCTCCCTCCCTCCCTCCCTTCCTCCCTTCCTCCCTCCCTTCCTCCCTTCCTCCCTTCCTCCCTTCCTCCCTTCCTCTCACCCTGTCTCCCTCTCTCCCTCCCTTCCTCCCTTCCTCTCTCCCTATCTCCCTATCTCCCTCCCTCCCTCCCTCCTTCCCCCCCTCCTCCCTCTCCCCCCCCCCTCCCTTCCTCCCTCTTGTTTTTTTTCTTTATTTCACCTCTTTTCTCTTTTTTGTGTAATAAGTGTTTCAAAATATATTTTTCCTCTCGTTTCCCCCCTTCTTAATTCTCCTTTTCTCTAGGTGGCTGAGGTAATGGTAGAGCTCAACAGTTTACAAAACGGTGAAGAAGTGGAGGAATGGCACCAATTAACGGGTATTACACCTGTTGGCGAATGGGGTGCTGTCAGACTGAGATACAGGTATAAGCAAATTTCTCTTTACAAAGTAAATATGGTCTTCATTAGGATTAACTGCATGCCCACTGAGATATGACCATACAGATTTTTTAACAACACTGGCTACTTTAGCAATATTGCTGTATCTAAGGTCAAGTCATGACATGCGTATGGACATAATGATTCTGTATCCACAGGTACTTCCATGACTTAATCATGCCATGTGAAGAATACAACAGTTTAAAAGAACTTCTGCTTGATCCAAGTCTGGAAGCTGTTCAAGCGCTTGCAGATGTCTCTCACAGGGATAGAAATCCCTTAGCTACCTCTCTGTTGCGCATATTTAGGTAAGTGTTTGTCTTACGCCTTGTTTGAAACCTCTGTACCATTATTGGAGTAAATGGGAAATGCATATTGAAAATTTTTACTTTAGGGAAATGTCTATTATGTTATGTGCAGTTATTATATGTATAATTGAGATTATAGTCTTCATTCATGATATAAGGTTAGCTGTTTAACTCTCCATCCCTGATTAACTGAGGAAAGTGACATATGTGATGCAGGAATGAATGTCGTGAGCATGACCTCCTCCAGCGACTAACAGAGCACGAGATTGAGAGAGAACATGAGACTAGTACCCTATTCCGGGCTGCCTCTCTTACCACAACACTACTTGACCTCTATATGAAGTCAACTTGCACAGAATTCCTGACTGAAGCCATCTCTGATACCATACATAGGATCTTAGAATCAAAGCAGTCGTGTGAGGTAAGGAAATGTTGAAGATTTGGAAAATGTATTAGCTTTTAGCAAGGAGTATTTTATCTATGTGTTGACTCAGGTATTTCACATTTCACGTTTTGAACTATGCTCTTTTCTTGAATTATGATTTGATATATGTTAGAGATTCATATGTCATTAAGTTTGGATGAGTTTGTATATTATACAGGTAAGTCATTGCCTACAGTAGATACTGAGGCTATGCTAGGTTGAGCCACCTTAGATTGAAAAACATAAATATGTTAAAGTGAGTGCAATCCAACTTTTAGATTTAAATGAAACAGTTTATTGGGGGTAAAGATTCCAGTAGTGGTGAGAGAAACTTCAAATATAGAATGACCGCTAAGCCATCTGACAGAGAAACAAGGGCTTTTTAATACAGTATTTGTCATAAAGTATAATTTGTGAAGCTATCTTGCCAAAGAGTTTGCTTAATGATTTTTTTGAGAATTGGGGAAAAAATTAAGGCATCCTTGTAAGGTTATTAGCAATTACTGAAATTCAAGAGGATTTTCAACTATGTTTTATTGTTTGTTCTGAAACTATGGCTTCCTTCTATCTCACTGCAGCTCTGAAACATAAGAGTTTCAGAGCTACAGTGCAAAGGATAAAAGTACATTCTTAATTTCTGGTTCTTTGTGTAGCTCATTAGTCTACTTTTATATGTCAAATGTTCACACAAGGATTTTGAAGGACAGGTGATGCATAGAATAACGGAGGTTAAAATATAACCAAAGTAGATATTTACTTTAATTTAGGTTCCAAAGAATTTTTGATATTGAGAGACAAACCAATAACTCCTGAAATCACAATTCTGTAGGTATTGCAGCATGTAGCAAAGTTATAAACAACATGCAGAAAATATTTTTAAGCCAATATATCAATAAACAAAACAAAACATAAGTTACGTACTGTGCATTTGAGATTGATATATTTGCAGCTCAATCCTACAAAAATGGATAACCCAATGGATGCTTGTGCCAATGCTGAGTTCCTCCTGAAAGTTCTGGATGACATAACACAGAGTATCTTCTCGTCTGCTGCCGCATGTCCAATGTGAGTAGTCTGTTTACCTTTTAGCAAAATTAGGAGAAAAGTTGAAGCCTTTAGTGTAAGTTCTGAAGGTTAGGTGAACTGGAATGTTGATGTTTGATTAAGAAAAGAAATAAGTAAGAAGAGGAGATTCTGTGTCACAATAATAATAATATAATAATAATAATAATAATATTAATAATAAATTTTGATATTTTATGACATGTTGTAGAGAATTTTTCCATACAAGTTAAATAATTTTCTTTTTGAGTGTAGCTGTGTTGCCATTTTATTTTTAGATTTTTTATTTCCTGTTTTATTTTTGTTTCAGGCCTTTGAGATATATCTGTGGGTGTCTACAACGTAAAGTTTCCGAAAAATGGCCACAAGATCGCTTGGTTAAAACAAGAGTAGTCTCAGGTTTCATATTCCTGCGATTAATATGTCCTGCAATCCTCAATCCTCGACAGTTTAACCTCCTGCAAGGTACGATGGGCCAGTGTGCTTCCTATATGTTGATTGGCCTAGAAAAGTTTACATGGTTTTAGAAAATTTGTCTGTTTATACTAAGGATATTATCATTTTTATACTTATTCTTTCGCTAATTTCTGACATGTGATTTTTTGTTTATTGTTATGTAGATTGATAGATTTTGATTTTGGAAAATGCTTACCAGAATTTTGCACACAAATGCATCGGCACATTTGGAGAAAGAAAGAAAGAAAGAAAAAAAAAGACATGCACTATCTGAAATTATAAGCTTTACCAACCGAAGAAAAGACCTTTAATTTTTTAATGTAATTATTTCAGAGCCTCCACACCCTGTAGCATCAAGGTCATTGATCATGATTGCAAAGTGCCTACAGAACTTGGCAAACCTGGTGGAGTTTGGAGGCAAGGAACAGTACATGGAAGTTGTGAATCCCTTCATTCTGAAAAATAAGGAACGTATGATCTGCTATTTGGACTCCTTATCGGTAAGTAGTTTTTCTTGTATTTTAATTGTTTGTACCTTATTTCAAAGTCTTTATTACTATATATATTGCTATGCATATCCTCTTTTTTTCTACATAGATACCAAGGAGTTTGTCACTAGGTCTATCTGTTTTCACCTGTGCCATTCCTTGAGCTTCTTGGAACAATATTTTTTATTCTTACTACTGTTATATTTTAAAAGCTAACCTAATGATGGCAAGAGTTAATCTGGGGGGATAAAAATATGTGCCAAGTCTTCTGTCTACTTGAGCTGAATCACCAAGGAGCGAATTACTAGTACTATTTGATCACACTTGTTTTCTTTTTCTTTTTCTGTCTTATGATGATATAATAATTCCAATATCAGTGATGATAAGAACAGTAATGATATTAACATTAGAAAATAATCCAAAAATTGAAGGAATGGGGATATTGGATGAGGTCAGGTAGTCCTACGAATTGACTACTTGTGGAGCTGTCTTTGTGTACACAAAATTCGTAAAACAAAACTATACAATAAGCCAACACTAGTGGGTTGATAATATTTAGATTAACCAATGGCTGCAGTAGATCGAGTCATGGATGACACCACATAATGCCATACCTCATGCCATCTGCTTATCAGAGGGAGCTCATCTTTCTCAGATAGTAGCGTTATTATTTGTCTGGTATCCCTAAAGTGAAGGGGTATGTAATATATTTTCAAACACATGGTTATAGACTCCAGATACAAGTGGTAAGTTGTTCAATGTTGTTTTTGAAATGCAGGGCAAGCTGACAGGAAATGGAGAAAATGTAGATGTCTTCCAATTTTTTATTCAACAGGCACTAGGTTAATAGTACTAATAGGGTAAACAGGTGAGTTCAAGTAGGTAGTAATCAGATCATTGGTAGCTTATCCTTCTGGAGCCATCTATATGTAAGATTAAATCAGCTGGGCAAAGCTAGACTGGTCAGTTGAGAGCATGTGTGTCCAAATGTGTTCTCAAACCAATTTCCTGAAAATAAATTTAAGAAGTGTTTTGTTAGTTTAAACTTTCGTCAGTGACATAAGAATCAGTGTGTTCATGTTAAATATTACAATCATGAGATAGAAGTAAGTTAATATGAATAGATTGATGCTTGTGTTATAGATGAAATTTAACCCACCGCTGATGGGTGAAAAAAATATCCCGGAGAATTTTAAACTCAGGATATTTCTGGCAACAGCCAGACATTGGGCACAGGAGTCTGCTACATCAAGTTGAACTTTCCGCTTCAAGCACTCTGTTGTGTCATCACTTGTATGGGCAGATCATCAGCATCGGGTTAAACTATCAAAACATTTGCTAATATTTTTTACAATTGATCAGAGATTCGCATGCCTCCATTTCATATACCTGTTGTCATTATGTTAATAAGAAAGTTTAGATATGAAAGACATAGTGAAGTTTTCTGTAGGTTAAGGTGTCTCAAGTTCCTTTTAACCTTTTTACCTTGTGTAACCAGAATGTTGGTGAGCGACCTGAAATAGAGGAACAGCCAGTGAAGAGTGAACCATCAAGGGATCTAGCACAGCTTCATCACATCTGTGTAACACACCTTGCAGAATTAACTACGAAAGCCAAAACACAGGTCAGTTCTAAGGGTGTTCAGATTTGTTGAGACATTTCAAATCATAGAGGCAAAAAGTGTGTAGGCCCTGTAAGACATTTTAGTCATAGTAACAGCTTTTACCTTGTGTTAATATTGGCATATTGGATAAGAAAAAATGTGAGTTCATGTTACTGCCTACCTTCCTAAAAACCTTAGATATGGGTATATCTTCTTCACCCATTTCCTACTTTTGCTCCTTCCTACTCCAATTTCCCACTTTTCCCCCAGAAAAATGAAGGCAAAATTGATAAATCTATCACTAATTATATTTATTTCCTTTCCAGGTAACTTTAAAGAAATTAGTTACTGTGACAGATATGCTAAAGAAACACAAAGAGAAATACCAGGAAATGATGAGGTGATCCCCGCCCCCACCTGGCCCTGCATAGAATTAATATGCCACAGTGCCTAGGTGTCCCAAGGCGTTGCTGGCCGGCTCCTGCTCTTCTTGTATGCCACAACGCATAGGGGTCCTGAGCCATCATTGGACCACCCCTGGCCATGCAGTGTGTTATTGTGCCACAGTGCCTAGGTATCCTAAAATGCTGCTGGCCCCCTTCCTGTTCCACAAAGTGGTAGTGTGCCACAGTGCCTAGGTGGCTCAAGGCATAGCTTATACCTCTCCTGTTGTGCAAAGTATGTGGATTTTGACACAGAAGTGGTCTGAATCACTACTGCTGCTGTCCTGGTTGATTTGTGTTTTTGCATCTCAGAAACCAGATGTTCCAAGGTGTTCTATCAATGCTTGGATATACTGAACCATTGTTGACTCCCTCACTCCAACAGGACATCAGTACTGGAGCCTAGACCATACAGAGCAGTTGTGGCTGAGGGTGGCAGAACAGTTGCCACAGTGGGATGTGTAATGTGGCCAAGACAACCTTTTAAGCTACAGTTTCATTGTATATGATGTAAAAAACAAACAAACAAACAAACAAGATAAATTTTGAAAATTTTGATTAGTATGATGTAAGTTTTGATATTTTACTCATACTGTGGGTGTGAATGATGTACAAGTGTTGTGGATGTGACTCCTAAACAGTTAGCGTGTTGTCGGAAGTACTGCATGTGGGTGCTAAACTTACAAGACTCACAGGATGTGAGTGTGATTGTAGGATAACTCCAAACAAGATTTACAGCCAGTAAGTGGTATGTAGGCCGTTTTGAGTTGCACCAATATAATCTACAACCAAATGATCTCACAAATTCCCACCAGTTGCCTGTATTTCTGATTCCATATTTCTTGCTGTTAAAAATGAGTGGATATTACTACTATGTGGTTCAGGTGATAGTAGAAATGGCCTCCATGTGACCTCATTGTAAATATGACCTTTATGTGGATTTACCAGAGGTAGCCTTTGCTATCATCATGCCCATTTAAAATCATACATAGCTGCTATTTCCTCTAGGGTATGTGAGACATGATTGGTTAAAATATACTGGACCATGGTTGGCCTGACTTCCATAGCTATGTAAGGGTTTCTTTGATAACCATGTCAGTAGGCTCATGTTAACCACTATCTGTGGCCAGGTCATGAGTTAACCCTTCCATTCTAAGGATTTACCCTTGTGAAAGAGAGTCCAGTGTGAAAAGTCATGTACCATTAATGCTATGATATGGAGTAGTAGTATCATAACTTAAGTCATCCTGGGGATGGGTATAATAAAAGATTCAGTAAGAATGTCAGTCAATTTTCTGATCATGAGGTTTGTTTCCTTTGACTGGAAAGGATTAACATATAATTTGTGGTAGAGGTTATTTTATTTATAATTTTTTTTTCTTTCTTTTTTTCAGTCAAGAAATATTTTGATCTTTATATCTAATGCTGCTTTTATCATCCATGTCTCAAATCTTCTGAGTGTGAAAAGAAATATTAATGAAAAGCATGAAATATTACCGATGAAGCTTAATCATGTCAGTATAATGAACAGTCTGAATGCCATATTTTGTAAAAGACTGCAGACTAAATAAGCTGTAATGGTCTTTAGAATTTACAGTATATACAGAGTGCAGTGTCAGTTGATAAATATATTCAGCTAGCGCAGTTTACACGATAGTAATTTGGAAAGTATATGCATGGAGTGACCCTTCTTGAGGGGAAAGTTGAAAAGAATACATTAATACTAAGTGAAACTTTAAAACTAAAATTTGAATTGCATGAAAAATCTCCAAATCTCCAGTATATTTGGAAGGCAAGGAGTGTTTTCAGTTTTTGACTTTTAGGTGGTTCAGCAAAAAATTCAGATTTTTGTATAGCTAATGGTGCTAACTGGATAGTTGGGTTCTTCCACTGTTTCCTTATGTCAGGTACCATTGAAAAGATGTGCCATGTATCTTATGTTGTGTACAGTTGGTGGAGCTGAAGATGGTGGATGAGTGCTGTTGCTTTGTGTTGCTAGTATACTGTGCTGGTCTGCTGGATGGTCCTTGTATTGTTACTATTTTATACTGTTCTGCTGGACAAAACTGCTGACCTGCTCTATAATCAGTATGCTGTGTACTGCTTTGTTGGATGGTCAGTATACTGTTCTTTTTTTTTTTTAGATGGTTAGCATACTTATTTGTTGATCTGAATGGTCTGTATATTGTACCAATTTGTTGAACAGTATGTATGCTGCATTATTCAGTGAATGATCAGTATACTGATATTTTATAAGATGGCCAGTATACTGTTCTGTTCTGTTTGATGTAAGTATACCATACCTTTCTTTTGGAAAATCAGCATAGTTTAAAATGGTCAGTATACTGTTCTTTTTTTTTTTTTTTAGATGGTTAGCATACTTATTTGTTGATCTGAATGGTCTGTATATTGTACCAATTTGTTGAACAGTATGTATGCTGCATTATTCAGTGAATGATCAGTATACTGATATTTTATAAGATGGCCAGTATACTGTTCTGTTCTGTTTGATGTAAGTATACCATACCTTTCTTTTGGAAAATCAGCATAGTTTAAAATGGTCAGTATACTGTTCTTTTTTTTTTTTTTTAGATGGTTAGCATACTTATTTGTTGATCTGAATGGTCTGTATATTGTACCAATTTGTTGAACAGTATGTATGCTGCATTATTCAGTGAATGATCAGTATACTGATATTTTATAAGATGGCCAGTATACTGTTCTGTTCTGTTTGATGTAAGTATACCATACCTTTCTTTTGGAAAATCAGCATAGTTTAAAATGGTCAGTATACTGTTCTTTTTTTTTTTTTTTAGATGGTTAGCATACTTATTTGTTGATCTGAATGGTCTGTATATTGTACCAATTTGTTGAACAGTATGTATGCTGCATTATTCAGTGAATGATCAGTATACTGATATTTTATAAGATGGCCAGTATACTGTTCTGTTCTGTTTGATGTAAGTATACCATACCTTTCTTTTGGAAAATCAGCATAGTTTAAAATGGTCAGTATACTGTTCTTTTTTTTTTTTTTTTAGATGGTTAGCATACTTATTTGTTGATCTGAATGGTCTGTATATTGTACCAATTTGTTGAACAGTATGTATGCTGCATTATTCAGTGAATGATCAGTATACTGATATTTTATAAGATGGCCAGTATACTGTTCTGTTCTGTTTGATGTAAGTATACCATACCTTTCTTTTGGAAAATCAGCATAGTTTAAAATGGTCAGTATACTGTTCTTTTTTTTTTTTTTTAGATGGTTAGCATACTTATTTGTTGATCTGAATGGTCTGTATATTGTACCAATTTGTTGAACAGTATGTATGCTGCATTATTCAGTGAATGATCAGTATACTGATATTTTATAAGATGGCCAGTATACTGTTCTGTTCTGTTTGATGTAAGTATACCATACCTTTCTTTTGGAAAATCAGCATAGTTTAAAATGGTCAGTATACTGTTCTTTTTTTTTTTTTTTTTTTTTAGATGGTTAGCATACTTATTTGTTGATCTGAATGGTCTGTATATTGTACCAATTTGTTGAACAGTATGTATGCTGCATTATTCAGTGAATGATCAGTATACTGATATTTTATAAGATGGCCAGTATACTGTTCTGTTCTGTTTGATGTAAGTATACCATACCTTTCTTTTGGAAAATCAGCATAGTTTAAAAATGGTCAGTATACTGTTCTTTTTTTTTTTTTTAGATGGTTAGCATACTTATTTGTTGATCTGAATGGTCTGTATATTGTACCAATTTGTTGAACAGTATGTATGCTGCATTATTCAGTGAATGATCAGTATACTGATATTTTATAAGATGGCCAGTATACTGTTCTGTTCTGTTTGATGTAAGTATACCATACCTTTCTTTTGGAAAATCAGCATAGTTTAAAATGGTCAGTATACTGTTCTTTTTTTTTTTTTTTTTTAGATGGTTAGCATACTTATTTGTTGATCTGAATGGTCTGTATATTGTACCAATTTGTTGAACAGTATGTATGCTGCATTATTCAGTGAATGATCAGTATACTGATATTTTATAAGATGGCCAGTATACTGTTCTGTTCTGTTTGATGTAAGTATACCATACCTTTCTTTTGGAAAATCAGCATAGTTTAAAATGGTCAGTATACTGTTCTTTTTTTTTTTTTTTAGATGGTTAGCATACTTATTTGTTGATCTGAATGGTCTGTATATTGTACCAATTTGTTGAACAGTATGTATGCTGCATTATTCAGTGAATGATCAGTATACTGATATTTTATAAGATGGCCAGTATACTGTTCTGTTCTGTTTGATGTAAGTATACCATACCTTTCTTTTGGAAAATCAGCATAGTTTAAAATGGTCAGTATACTGTTCTTTTTTTTTTTTTTTAGATGGTTAGCATACTTATTTGTTGATCTGAATGGTCTGTATATTGTACCAATTTGTTGAACAGTATGTATGCTGCATTATTCAGTGAATGATCAGTATACTGATATTTTATAAGATGGCCAGTATACTGTTCTGTTCTGTTTGATGTAAGTATACCATACCTTTCTTTTGGAAAATCAGCATAGTTTAAAATGGTCAGTATACTGTTCTTTTTTTTTTTTTTTAGATGGTTAGCATACTTATTTGTTGATCTGAATGGTCTGTATATTGTACCAATTTGTTGAACAGTATGTATGCTGCATTATTCAGTGAATGATCAGTATACTGATATTTTATAAGATGGCCAGTATACTGTTCTGTTCTGTTTGATGTAAGTATACCATACCTTTCTTTTGGAAAATCAGCATAGTTTAAAATGGTCAGTATACTGTTCTTTTTTTTTTTTTTTAGATGGTTAGCATACTTATTTGTTGATCTGAATGGTCTGTATATTGTACCAATTTGTTGAACAGTATGTATGCTGCATTATTCAGTGAATGATCAGTATACTGATATTTTATAAGATGGCCAGTATACTGTTCTGTTCTGTTTGATGTAAGTATACCATACCTTTCTTTTGGAAAATCAGCATAGTTTAAAATGGTCAGTATACTGTTCTTTTTTTTTTTTTTTAGATGGTTAGCATACTTATTTGTTGATCTGAATGGTCTGTATATTGTACCAATTTGTTGAACAGTATGTATGCTGCATTATTCAGTGAATGATCAGTATACTGATATTCTATAACCCAAGTCTAGTTTTGAGTGGAGGTGTGTGATTGCCTTAATATCTAAAAGTTAATTGAATATTCCCAGCCAAACAAAATGGTATTATGTGTAAAGGTTTGAAATTATATTCATAATACAAATGAACAAGCATTCCATAATTCTCAGAAAGGTTGACTTACCTGGTGAGTTAGTGGGCTGTAATGACTCATTGAAAATGATTATAATTATACCAGTAATTAATAATTGATTACTGATGTATGGATACAGAAAACAGTAAAACAAGTTAGGCTGATCATTAGTATTGGTACTTAACCATCACCATGATATGGATAACATTAAAAAAAAAACATATATCCAGTGTGGCAGATATTTCATTCTTACAAGCTTAATCTTTTGGCCTATATTTTTCTCAGATAATATTGCTGTTGACTTGACACTAAATCTTTTTTGATAACAGTATTAGCAAAGTTTATAGGAGAGTCAAAAGAAAACTACTGTACCCTTTATTCAGTAGACAATGTTCATATTCAAAGATAGCTTTTTTGTATTGTTTGTATAGGATACTTTTTATTATAGTTATTTGTGTGGTCAAAATTATAACATTTTGTAATGTGAAAGTAAACTAGGAGGATCCATAGAGAGATATTTAGGGAATGTAATAAATCTCATGTCTGTAACACACTGCCAATGATATGCTTCAGTTCTTGCTCTTATTTTATAAAATGTTATTTTATTTGACTTGTTACAACTGTTTATTGTGCCCATATTTTTATATGCTGAATTTTGAGTTTTACTTTTTAGCTTTTTTGAACATGTTACGGTAAAATTCATAATTCAAGATCTTAATATTCTGAAATGATAATTGCTTGCTCTGCTTTCATGCCATATTTAACATTTACAGGTGTGAAGGTTTTCAAAAGAAAAAGCTCGAGAATATCTGTTTAGGAAAGTGCCATGAGTCTTTTTATTCATGCAAGATGTGTATGACACAGTGCATGAACTTCATTTTGGAAATAATCGGATTATAATGGTAAAAGCAAAAATAAAAATATTTTTGTGAGGATATCTAAATTAACACTACTATATCATGGTTTGCTCAGCCTGACAATAGGACCAAGATTAATTTATGTTTATACAACAAGCCAACTTTATATTTAAGTTTTAATAAGAATATATCCTTTTTTTTTATTGGGAATTTATAGTCCAATATTTATTTACTTTAATAAAAACAGATAAAGTCATGCTCATGGTTTGCAGCAACTGAGCCATATTAATGTAAAATACATGATTAAAGTATGTGATAGAAATAGCTGTTAAGTAGAAAACTGGATTATTTATGCATATTCAGTTAGGTTATTTTCAACTATTCACAAAATATGCAGTGGAGGAAAGATTACATAACGTGAGACTGGCATGTATAATGTAGCAGACAGTATTTACTGTACCACCAGATAAAGGGTGTTCATTCAGTAATTCTTGGCATAGGGCCAGGCTTCTCAATTGGCAACTTGAAACACACATTCTGTAAGTACGTTTTGTGTACAAATTTTTGAAGTTATAGTTTTTGAGGTAATAGCTCAGTATATGTGAGCTGTCTTCTCCAACCCTCTGCTGAGTTTGTGCCATTTAATCACAGAGAAAATTGTAATCAGTTGCTGAGCCAAATTGACAAGTAACGTTTGTTTGGTTCTATTGTGTAGCACAATAAGAGTTCTTTGTTACTATTTACTGCTCCTGATTATGTTGATCTAGGTTCTATAGGTAAAATATTTTTGTGAATTTATAGAATGTAAAAAATCATTTCAGTCATTTGTTATTGTTTATACAATGATGCTTTAACAATATGATATTAGAGTGTTTTGAGCTTTTATTTTATTTATAACCTCTGAACATCATTGTGGGAAAAAAACTCAAACAAGGAAAACATGCATTGCCTTATAAAAATATCTGAAACCATTTTTAAGCTGACATTTTGGAAGTATTTTGTGCAACTTGCAGCTTAGACAAATAGCAGTTATACTGAATTTTGAAAGTGCTCAAGCAGGACTATTTTTCCTTTATATTTGCTCACAAACTGAGGTAACGTCCCTGTAATTATCTTGGTGTAAAAAAAAAAAAAAAAATCATACAGGGGCTTATGCACAAGAGGAATGTACTATATAAACTTTAAATGTCAGCATATCAAAATATGAATAACTTCTTCAGTCCACAACTAACAAAGTTTGATTTGGTTTTGAAGAAGGCATCAAAAGAGCACCAGCCTCTGAAAATTCATTTACCTTGGGGGGAAAAAATAATGTGAAGAAAATGATAAATGAAGGAAAAGTGAGTGAAAAGCCAGTGATATTTTAAACAGAATTGTATGTGGAGAGAAAATAAATAAATTTTCAAGGATATAATACTATTTTAATATTTCTAAGGCCCCATCTGGATGAATGGGCAGTGCCCATCGGGCAATATCCAATGAGTGGATATTTCACGCAATGTTACTAGACTGAGCAGTCCCCTATGGCCATTGGCTACCACAAGGCGCACATGTTGTCCACATAGGTGACGGAGACATGGCAGACTGTGCTGTGGTGAGGTACTGACAGCAGTGGTTGTCCAGTAAACATCAGGCAGTAGCCTACACTCCTGCCCGCCAACCACCCTCTAAATGTTGGTTAAGAACATTATTTGGTTACAATATTTGCCCGATGGGCACTGCCTGTCCGTCTGGATGTTACTCACATCCCCCCCACCACAATTTAGTAGATTGCTTTTATGGAAATCTAATTCTTTGTATATTTTACAGGTTATGAACCTATTTTTATTATTGCACTTCAAAAAAATAAAATATGAGGGACAATTCCTCTGAAGCACATCCCCCTGACACAGCAATACAAGTGCACCAAACAGCTAGATCTTTGTATTTTCTTGGATTTTTAATATGAAGTGAAATCGATTGTTGAGAATACTGTTTGCTTCAGCATGGATTTGTATGAAATAAAGAGCTGAAATTGTCCATGGCTATATGATAAGCTTTTGTTATTAGCCATGTACATAATTGCATAAGGTGCAATCACCTTCAAAGAAGGGGGGAAAAAATATAGATAAACCTGATGGATTCCACCTGCCCCTCCCCACATTTTCTACAGTACGGTGGTATCTGATACATGCCATTATCATGTATTATATATACATTATGTGGGTGTAGTTTGGGGGGACACAAAATCCTAATCTCCCCTTGGGTGCCAAATTGGCACCTTCAGTACATTTTTATTTTATAGACTGTACTAAAATAGTTTAGTCATGCTAGTTACTGTTTTGCCAGTAATGGACTTAAATCAAGCCTTAAACACTGCAAATGGCTTTTGACACACTAACATACAGATCTCTGTAATTGACACACTTTATAAGGTGCAAAAATGAAAGAATGACAAGTTGCCTGTATATGATAAAAGTACAGATGAGGAAGATGTAGTGAAGTTATGATAAAAGCCTAGCAATGAAAGCAGCCCTGCAGATATCATTTTTTAAATATGATAGGGCTTTAAATAACTTTGATAATACTGCAAGCTGTGACACTCACTAGCCAATGCATACAAAAAAAAATGATAAAAACTCATTCCTTTAAATTCCATTGGATGTCTAGCACATTGTTTTAACAGTTAACTATTATATTATCTGTAATTAGAAAGCATACAGATCGGGACAGAATATAAGTAAAGCAAAACTGACAATAACCATCAAGAAATCCATTTACCAATTATCAGGTAAATAACAAGAACCAGCCCATTACAAGTTAACAAAATATATCTATGACAACATCAAGCATCTGGTAAGTGACATAACAAACAGCTATGTCACTATACAAAATAGTATTACTAATATACAGACTACAGTAATCCATACCTACTTATGTAAAAAATATATATATACCTGCTTTCTGTATTGCATATTGTGTAAGACAAAGTATCATTGCATATTAATATCTGAATCAATTAAATTACAACTAATCCACAGAACCAGTCCTAGCTTTAGTTTAAAGGTTGCCATTTATTATAAGATTACTTGATAAACTTTATCCATTTTATGTCTATTAAACTATAACCTTTTGCATCTAAATTATATCTCTTTGACTCCTGTAGTGAAGCAAAAAATAAATGTAGCTATTCTGTAATCTTAAAAAAAGAGGAATGTCCAATAATATTTTTATAACACAACACATAGCACAAAGGGTATAAAGAATTGTAGCCATTGACTATATATTTATTTCCCCATTACACAAGGAATTAAACATGTAGATATAAAAATGTAATACAAGATTTCTCTTTATAAAAGTCTGGATATGATAACATCCAAAAAAAAAAGTGTATTATCTATTACTTTCTTATGTTCATTTAGTTAAACCTACTGTAAATTCCGCAATATAATTTCGCCATTATCATTATGTAAGTCTTTGCCTGCCACACCCCTCAAGCACTGGACATCTATTTATGTAGTCACCATTACTATAAGTCATACTTCTCTACTATAACAGTAAAGGTTGTAAATTAGTACAACTGGATGGATGATATCACCAACTTACATTTAATTTTGTTTTATCTGATGACTCAGAGTAATACAGTGACTAGACTATCTGCTTATGGGAATATAAATGCATTACTCTCTGAGAAATTCTTAAGAGCAATATAGAAACACATTATTGTGTATGTATGTATTCTATATATACACATTATATTATATATGCATATGTTTACAAGCACTAACATAAACCCTCACCTCACACTTATTCCCACACTCATATATTTATGAGACAAGGGGTTTAATTCACTGATAAAATTCCCATGCCAAAAGAATCTGGATATCATATAAAGTCTGCCTGGAATTTGTTCAAGATCTGCTGCTAACAGCTACCTGCCTGGCTTAACAGTGTGAGTGCCTTTTATTTCACTTGTTACTTATATTACTAATTTATATAATGGCACCTACACATACTACCCGGCATAATTGATAACATAAAGGTTACCCATTTGAAAACAATTTAGACAGAATAGCTGCAAATGACATCCCTATACCTGCTCCAACTGCCATAAATGTAAAAATTTGATAGTAGCTATACTCAACAACATATATTTCTGGCGTCCCTCGGTCATCTAAAGTAAATGGAAGGGAATTCTTGGATTCTTCCCCATTATTTTCTGATGTCAGAAATAGCCTAGCAAATACTGATTCAAACTGAGAGTTCATCTGTTTGGAAAGAAGCTTCCTTTCTTTAGACAAGAGAGAGGCAACATCACTCTTAATGGTTTGTTCTTCAGCTCTGATTAATGCAGACATGTTCTCTTTCAGTGACCTAACATCTGTTATTAGCTTGTCTATGTCTTTTTTAACACTGCCAACTGAATTTGTTAAATGTGCCAGTTCATATTTAAATGCACTTTGGGAACTTTGTTTTTCAGATACTTGATGAACAACTGTCTTGCTTTGAGTAGTACTAGACCCTGGAATATCTGTTTGGTTGCTCTTATCATCTGTGGTTATGGTGCTAGCAGCATTCAACTTTCCTGAGATGCTACTGATGACATCACTGTGCAACTGAATATACCCGGCCATCAGCTGTTTGCTGTTGGTGTTCACATGCTCCTTCACTTCTCGGATTCTCACCCAGTTATTGATGGATGTGATGATCGATGCAAGAGCTGCTGATACCAGTGATGCAATAATTGACCTGTGTGGATAAAAGAGAAAAATATAAAAATATCTGCTACATCCCTTTAATATGTAAATGTCTAATTATCCTTAGACTAATTCTGTACAGAATGACTACACAACACCTGAAGCATCAGATACAGGTTAAATAATTTATATCCATCTACTATGCAAAAGCTGTCAGATTACTCTCTGTACATGCAGACAAGCAGATAGATTATAACAAATAAAAAGCATCACAGAAAACAACCAAACAGACATCAACAAACATAACTTATTATACAAAACAACCTCAACACATTATTACTAGCTTTGCAAAAGACAACACACCTCATCTTCCCAAACAGTATGCATGAGAATGACAGTGAAGGCAATAGGTTATGCTTACCAATACTTGCTCTGTTCCGCTTGAAACCGTTCTCTTTCATGGCAGTCACGGATAGCAGCTGAGAGCTGGCTAAAGGTATCTCGTTCTAAACGCTCACATATTTGAAATTCCCCACGCAGTGTCTTTAAACTTGCATTCATCTCTCTAGCCTGTGAGATAAATCATGTTTAACTGATTTAGTAATTTGAGTAAAATTTGCTTTTATAATTTAGTAATTTGAGTAAAATTTGTTTTTATAATGACAAAATGAAATCAAGAATGAAATGGTAAGGGGTGTATTATAAAACATACTTATACCTAAGAAAAGCACTTGAAATATTTCTTAACAATGAAGTCATATGCAAAGACTGAAGTGAAAACTATTGTCTTGCATAATGAAAGCAGCAACTGAAAGGAATAACTTTTACGAAGAGTAGGGGCTGCAGCACACACTGAAAGGAACATTTAGTAAGCATTTTAGGAGAGAAATAATGAATGGAAGATTGAATAAAATAATGCTCAAAACCTTCCATAGGTATTAACCTAAAGCTGACAGGCATGGCATGTATATACATGTCATGCCTACTATGGGTTTACTTTATTAATTGTTTTTACATATAGATGGCTACACTTGTACTAAGTCACCAATGAGCCAATTTTGGAGTACTGCCTGTCTCACCAATTCAAGGAAAGGTGACATCAGGTAAGGTCACAAGGTCCTCTGACTGACTCCTTTGTAGCTAAGCACTTGCAGAGCCATCTATATGCTGAGACATTTCACAAAAAATTAGAAAATGCCACATTTTCCCTGAGTTAAAAGAAAAACAAAGAAAAGAAAAGATAAGAATAATGAATGGAAGATTACATGAAATAATTTATGTTCAAATCTTTTACAAATATTAAAAGAAAAAAACAAGGAAAAGAAGACTAGGAATGAGGGCACAGAATTATTCAAAAAAGAAAAAGGGGAGAGTTTAAAAAAACACCAAAATGGAAAGTTAATGCAACCTCCATCTCCATTGTCAGCACTAATAAAATGTAAGTGGCAATTTGGAATCACTATGTAACAAAAAAATCAATCAAAAAATAAAAAAAAACTGATTCAAATGATTGGAAAAAGTCTGACATGCTGCCAAGACACAATGTGTGAGGCAGCCTTATGTTAACCAAAGGGACACACATTATTGTTATACCATGATGGGAAAACCATAGATTATAATTCATTGGCTAAAATTATCATTATTTAAAAAATCTCAAGGAAAGCTTCTTCACAGACATCTACAAACATGCTATAACAAATGAAATGTTCAAAATAATGATTCAAATAGCTGTGGAAAGCATAACTCAATCCTTATTGTGCTTTTTCAAAAAAAATTTGCTTTGAAATCTAACTCCCTCTCTTGAAATCTAAGGGGAATAGACAGCAATCCATTAATGTAGGGAAGGGGAGAGGGTCATTAATTGAGTGGAGACTATCAATGGATGAGGACACACTTCTTTCCTTCTGCCACTTTTTCCTGCATTCAAGTAACTTCAAAAAGCTGTATTACAAAAATGGATTCCAGTAACACAAAAATCTACAGTGAAGCAACCACCTGTTAGGTTTAGTTGGAAATATGAGAAAATGTTGAGCTTATTATCTAAGTGAATGAATAATCAGTCTCGCAATTCCTAACATGCGAAGTCCTGAGGAGATGTAATGGGAACAGGCATGTTGCAATACAGATTTAGCAATATCATGACAAGGCAACATTACATAACTGAGAGTGGTCATCAAATTTATAGAAGCAGCCAAAATCTCATAGAGGTCAGACAAAGATAATAGCTATTAAACATCTTGGAGTATTGGTCAATGCCATTGTATTATAGAATGTTCCTACTCACACACAAGTCAACTAGAATGAGCAACTGTAAAGTTTCAACCATTCATTAGCAACACAGTATCTCT